TTTTTTAAAGTACTTATCTAAATGCCTTTCTGTCCTGTATAATGAAATTGTAAATGGCTTCACATAATCTCCGCACCACTATTTCCCAGTGATACTGAGGACACACATTTTTTCTGGAGTAAAATTGATGGCACACTTCACTCTTACACCCAAAAAGGGTGTAACATATTCCATTCCTGCCAGAGGAAACCATACAAGTGCTGAGATGTTCTGTTAAAAAAGATACCAAATACATCTTTCTTTAAGCAAAGGATTAGTTTCTGTACCAGTGGTTCTCAGCCTCTTCAGCCTCAAGCCCCCTCCCCCATAACTTCAGAATTTCACAATACTTTCAGACATTTTAAATAAAAAATGCTTTACTTTAAACTCCGCGCACCCCTGTGCCAAGCCCAGCATAGGCCTAGAAGAGGCATTGTGCTAACTGAACCCAGCTCTCCCAATGTCTGTATAGACCAGGAACTTTAGTGAGGCTTTTTTGTGCTTTTATCTAATAGTTGAGTGAATTGGCTTTAGATACAAATGCCAAAAAGCCCTGCTGAAGCACCGAATCTATACAGACACTGCAGAACCAGGTCGAAAAAATATGCTGCTTCTTCTGGTAAAGCACTGTTTGTTTGTTTGTTTGTTTGTTTGTTTTAAAGTCTACAAGCAGCCTGAGAGATGTAAAGTCAAAGAAGATATGGAAAGCAGGCTAGGGGGTAAAAAAATTACGGATCACTGATCTAGCTGGTGCCACTTAAGGGTGGCAGGAGCAGGACCTCACCCAGCTGTGCCCTGCTCTTTCCACTCTCTGCCCCCTCCCAATCCCTAGTGTGTACCCATTGCTGAGGCTGCCCTTGCAGGCCTTCTATGATAAATACCACACATAGTGGAACATGGGTGGAGTGGAGGGGATGTGGCAGACTGCAAATCATATCTTTGCCTATATGTCCTGCCACTTGCAACAGACCATGATGCTGTGAGCGTTGGGTGGGGGGTATCACCAGGGCTGCCTGAGGGCAGGGAAGGGTAGGGGAAAGCAGCAGCAACAGCAGCGGCAACAATTCCCAAAAGAGTAGCTGCAGGCAGTACTGGAACAGCTGGAGCAGGCACAGGGTACTGTACAGGGGAGGAGAGCATTTACATCCTCACACAGGGGGATCTCGTGGCATAGTGTTGCTCTCACAGCACACTAGTGTGTCCCAGCACACCCTTAGGGAATCACTGCTCTACACTCTTGTACATGTGCATTTGATATTGTTGTGAAAATATATTTTCCCAGCCTGTCTAGGATAGATGGTTTTCAGTAAATAAATTGGGGCAGTTTAGTTAACAGGTCCTGCCTCAATTGTCTCTTCCAGCTTTGCAGTTGCATAATGCAGATGCAAGAAACTACATGAAGAGTGAGGGTGATATTCCTATACAATTTTAGGAGAAAAAATGGAAGCCTTTTTCATATTATAATGTATATACCTGGGTAAGAATATGTACTGTAGATTGTATTTTGAAGCTAGAATTTTAAACACAAATCAGGTAATTGTATGGTAGTTTATTTATTTAAAGTTCCCTTTGACTTAGTCATCTAGGCTAGGGACAGACATTCAAAAAGCCTGAGAAGGAGGTGCTTCAATCTTTGCAGGTTAGTCTAACCTGTCTAGGCTGAATCAGTGTGTAACCGCTCAGACATCCCCTTTGGACTGAAAAAATGCAGGCATTTGGCTGTGGTGGCTCAGGCTAGAAGCCGGGGGGGTAGCTAGCCCTCCCATCTCTTCCACAGTGCTGAGCTGAGTGGGGCATGGCCAGGCCTGGGCAGGACACTCTGATTAGGGATGGGTTCTCCCCTCCTCCCTCCTATAACAGAGCATTTATCAGCTCTGTTATCAGCATTTACTACCCTGTTGGAAAACAAACCCTTTCTCATTAGTTCAAGCTCTTCTTCAAGAGCTTTTCCACAGAAGGGAACATTCCAAGGAGGTACATTACCAGCTACCTGTTGATTAGCTCCAAAAAGCCCAAAGCTGAAACTGTCCTGTCTGCCTTTGTCATGTCTGCCTTACACAGACACCTCTCAGCATTAGCTAGCATACCACATAATGGCTACCATTCCTGCTGTGAGAGAGAGGGAGGGGGGATCCCTGCTGTGCCTGCAAGTGTCTGCTGGAGCTCCAGCGAGGGAGCATGAGGGAGAGGCCAGCCCATCACTTTCAAGCAGAGAGCCTCACCCAGCCCAGAAAGCATGCCGGGATGTTGGGGGACTCTGGTTTCACTTAACCAGGAAGGGTTCTGGGACAGACATTTCATAAACCGGTTTGACCCAAATCAGTTAAGTCTGATACTACATTCAACCAGGTTGATCTCAAACCAGTTTCAGCCATTTGAAACTGGTTTGTGTGCATTGAATGTCTGTTCTGTTAGAGGTTTAAACCAGTTTTTGATCACTTTACCCAGGTTTATGTGTAATTTCTGTCCCTAGTCCTACAATGTAACAAACAATTGCTTTGTTGTGGAGAATTTGGTGACACAAAGCTCCCAAAAGCACATTTTGGACACGATCACCATTTTCCAAGGTGCAAGATTGCAGCCATTTGTATTAAATCAATATGAAGCAGTAAGTGTCATTGTGATTAACTAAATGGGATTTCCTGAGCCATAAGTCTTTCTTTCTTGCAAAGCTTTTAGCACCCCTAAATGCTTGGATCTTGATGCTGCTTTCTGACATTTGTCAGTTAAGGGATTTAAAAACAATGACCTTTGTAAGTTGTGTTTAATATTTGAAGGGCCTTTGTTTATTTGTTTGTGTCTAGGAAGCAAATGCAAAGTATCCAAGACTGCTACTTTAAAACATTAGAAATTGTTGATATGGTTCAATAGAATTTCATAGTTTCATAGTTTCTAGGGTTGGAAGGGACCTGAGCAGATCATCTAGTCCGACCCCCTGCCATGGCAGGAAAGAGTACTGGGGTCAAACGACCCCAGCAAGGTGTTCATCTAACCTCCTCTTAAAAACCCCCAGGGTAGGAGCCTGCACCACCTCTCTTAGAAGTTGGTTCCAGACCCTAGCAGCCCTGACCGTGAAATAGCGCCTCCTGATGTCTAACCTAAACCTACCCTCTGCCAGCTTGTGACC